TGAAAGAATATGCAGTTTTTGCTCATCCTGTATTTAAAACTTTGGACTGGTGAGAGAATTAATGCAGACCTTCCCATTTAGCACTGCCATGGTTTGAATGTCTAGGTCCTTCCCAAATTCCTACCTTGGAATGTGTACTAAGAGGCGTGGCCATGGGGAAATGAGCCAGGAAGGCGCCACTTCCTGGATGGGATTAAAGCTCTTGTCACAAAATCATCAGACAACAGCCTCTCCACTGCCACCCTTTCACCACTGGGGACACCCAGCCAGAACCTTGTGTGAGGGATAGGCCTTCACAGACACCCAACCTGCCAGCACCTTGATCGAGAATTTCCCTGCCTCCAGAACTGAGAAATTTCTGTCATTTATAAATTAGCCAAACTGTGATATTTTGCCATTGCAGCACAAATGGTCTAAAGCAAATATAGTCTTAAATTAATATTAATTTTCTTAATCAGTATTGTAATTATGCAGAAAGGTATCCACACTCAAAGACAGTACTAAAATGTTAAATTATCATGATGTCTTTAATACAATTTCAATGGTTTTAAATATACATAAATGTGAAAGGTAATGTGAGTCACTGCCTTTATATGTCCTTTCTCCCTTCACTCTTCTGTAATATTGAACACTGTCAGGATGAAAGGCTGAAGGGTGGAACACAGAAAGCATGTAAGGAGGCCAGCTTGCCCAACTGTGAGGAAAAAAAGCAGCCCTTCTCTCCAAAATTATGAAAATTAGCCTGGAACAGTCACACAGCCCAAGTTCCCAGCCAGAATAGCAGAGTTGGAGGATATCATAGGCTACAGCCACAAAACCAAAAAGATAACAAGTGAACCTAAGATTTAGGCCCTTTCCAGTATTAAATATACCATTAACTATTCCACTACAATACTACCTCTAGTTCAAAAACTCAACATAACCAAATACAAAGTAGAAAAACTCACAGGACCAAAAGAATAAAAACTAATAATAATAATAATAATAATAATAATAGTAATAAAGAATTTAAAATAGCCAAATGCCTTTCACATATATTAACTCTGCTCTTTTGAGAAAAACATCTTAAAAATTTTTGAGAGACAAAATAAAAAATAATTTTTAAAAACTTAGAAAAGGCCGGGAGATAGCTCAGTAGAATAAGCATTTGCCTGGCAAGCTCAAGGTCCTGAGTTCAATCTCCAGTAATGCAAAAACAAAAAACTTAGAAAAAACAAGAAATAACAAATTAGGAGGATTTATTTCAATATCCATACAATTTCAATTTGTACCAAAAATATAAATTCAAAGAGACTGAATATAAATATGGTATGATGAGACCAGGTGTGGTGGAGTATGCCTGTAATCCCAGCACTGGGGAGTCTGAAAAACAGGAGGATCACTATGAGTCTGAGCTGCATAGTGAGACCCTGTACCAAATACATGAAAAAAATAAATAAATATGGTATGATAAGACTGGGTAAAAGAATTTTCTCTTTTTTAAAGACAGTAAAGGAGCAGAGGCTTCAGTCTCAGTGTGAAAGTCCACACCAATTACTGTTGCTTCCAGAAAGACACTGAGGTGATGAAATTAGCCTTATAATTAACTAAAAGTCATACAGAGCTTTGAAAAGTTTGGCAAGATAAGCTTTGTGCTTTATCCTAAACAGTATTTTAGCTGCACGGTGAGGAATGGACTAGCTGGAGCAAAACTGAAAGCCGCCATTAGGGAGCTGAAGCAGGATGTGAGTAACACAGCATAGATGAATGAACTTGAAGTGTATCTCTTCTGAGTCAGCACCATAGCACTTTGGGATTCTTTGTGTGTGAAAGCAGAAAAAGAATATACTCGGGGTGATGTCACGATTTTTGGCTGTTGAGCAACTCTATATACTGATACAATGTACAGAAACCTTTTAGAGAACTAGCCCTCATAGGATTGGTTATGTTACTCAAAATTTTAATTATAATGGTAGAAATAACACTACCTCAAAGCATCTGCAGTGAGGACGCAGGGCATAAGAGATCCTGTACTGTAATATCATGTAACTCAGTGATGTCCCAAATTTTCTGATCAAGATTATGGAGCCACAGAAGAAAGTAAGTGACGATGTAGAGTGTACCTAAGGAGAGTCACATCAAGAGAAAACATTCCCTCAGGCTTTCACAGACAACAAATTGGTCAAGCAATAGCCGTGACTCATCCACATGGCTGACACTCACAAAAGATCTACTGTGGGGCAGCTGAGATTCTAGGACTGCTAGGTGTGGAGGATCACCTTGAAACTGCAGTACAGGGTTTCAAGGTAAATCCTGACGAAATCTGACTGACCTTGGCAGATACAAAAGTTACATTTCTTGTTTTAGAGGTCTTGCTTTATCTTGGTCTTAACCATCCAGCAGAAAAGTATAAAAATGAGGCATAAAAAGTAAAGCCATATTAATATGCTGAGCTGTAAAAGGCATACGTCAACAACTTCTGACATTGCCAGTCCTATGAATAACCCACTACTCTTATCGACTACTGGACTATATTGGATTATTTTGCTGAATTCATGCACCTACAATATTTAGATGGCAATGGAATATCCACCTCTAACAAAACTAAGCAAAAAAAGGGGATATAAATGAAGGACCATTTGGTATCTGCATATACAAAATAGAATAGATATACAGCTACTTTCTCTTAATTCAATGAAATGAAAGATTTGTACTAATAGTATTTTGACAGGATATCATGTCTGCATCTTGTACTATGAATAACTACTATGAAGACAATATGTAATGTATTAATTATTATAACTGTCCTACTAACTTGTTTTGAAACTGTCTCATTTCTACTTGTTTCTCAATAAAATTAAAGAAAAAAGAGAATAAAGCATCTGAAAAATTTGCAATGTGTAATATTACTTTTTATACAATGAAGTATTACTGTGTCATTAAGAAGGATACGCTTAAGACATTTCTAGCTAAAAGGATGCACCTTGAGACCATGTTCTTAAGTGAAATAAACTGGACATACATGGCCAAATATCACACTGTTTCTCTGCTGTGAGAAATCAAAAGGATAAACAAGGACCAAAATATATAATAGATACTGGAAAATAAGCAGAAAAAAATCTTACATGCAAAGGGCAACAGGGAGGAGGAAGGTGATAAGGAAAGAAGGAAGAATGAATAGAAGGAAAAAAATGGAAACAGCCATTGCAAAGAAGAGGAAGGGGGACTAAAGGAAAGGGAAGAGAATAGGGAAACAAGAGGAATCAAGAAATATCATGGACAGGTACAGATGCCCTATGATGAATGCTATCATTATGTATATTTAAAATATATAAATAAAATTAATTTTTTAAAAAATACTTATTTCCCCAAGGTTCACTCGCCGGCAATGGTGTGCTCTGCTTGCCCCGCCCCTCAGGTGCACTGAGATCACAATTGAGATTGGGCATGGTGGCACACACCTGTAATCTCAGCTCTTGGGCGGCTAAAACAGAAGAATCACTAGGAGTCTGAACCATGTAGTGAGACCCTGTAGACCACGCAGACCCTGTACCAAATACATAAAAAAATAAATAAATAAAATAAAAAATACTTATTTCCCTGAAACTGAATTTTATATGAATTTTAATTAATTATTGGTTTACTATCACATGACCTCAGTCTTTCTTGGAAATACAGAAAGCAGAGGGAAGGGTATGAGTTCAAGAAAAATAAAACAAAGGCTGTGGGGCAGCTGAGATTCTAGGACTGCTAGGTGTGGAGGACCACCTTGAGTAGCTCTCCTTGAAAGAAGAGCAACTGTCTCCATTTTGATGGAGCCTGACCCTATTTCCTCATATTGTTATGTACAGAGCTGGCTAGGACTTCTGTTTATCCTTCAATTGGCCTTAAGCAATGTGTATTGGTCTAGCTGAGGTGCTGGTGATAAGTCTTTGAAGGTAGAATGTGTGTTTCCTTGGTAACCTATACCTGCTACTCTTTAATGTGGGCCGGATCAAGACAGGACGGTGGAGCTAATGCTCCACACCGCCAGCTGGGATCAAGCCTGGAGATAGAAGCTATGACTTCCTGGGGCTTGAAAGACTACATCAAAGCTGAAGCACCAGACCCTCCAAAACTACCTCAATAGCATAAAGCAGATTACCATCTCTGCATATCATCTCTGCATATGGCAAAAGTAAATTTAGGCCACCCACCTAGCTCAGCTCACAGTAGTCACCTACTTCCCACAATTCTCAGTCAATCTTCCTCAAGCCACTCCACTGAATAAAACCGGCTGAGGCCCTGGATCACTCTCTTTGTTTTGGAAAGCCATCTTCATGGCTGGACTTATAGCCCCTCGACTCCCCAGTGATAGAAAATATAATTTAGTGTCTTTATTTTTGCTGTGGGTTGCATTGAAAGTGGTAGACTGGAATCAAGTTGATGGGATTCAACAACATAACTTTGGGATTACAAATATTGGCTTCTTGGACCAAGACGAGAACCTGGAAGGGACTCCTACAGCTAGGCACACAGGTTAGGGAAACATTAGAATTCTGCTAATTGTATTAGTGGAAAAAAATAGTAATGATATCACAAGTAAGAGAAAATTCATTAAGACAAAGGACAAGCAAAATATAACCACAGGTATGAAATGAAGGCAGCTTTCCAAAATAGGAGAGTAATCTCAGATAAGGAATACTACAAGCTGGATGCAGTGGCACACACCTGCCATTCTGGTACTTGGGAGGCTGAGGCAGGAGGAGCTAGAGCAGTGGTTGTTAACCTATTGTACACGTGCCCCAGCCAGCTGTTTGTTATCACTGAAACTAAGATGCTTGTCATCACTGAGTTAGTATTTGAGGCCACCCTGGGCTACAGAACAAGTTCCAGGTAATCCTGGACTACACAGCAAAACCCTATCTCAAAACACACACACACACACACACACACACACACACACACACACAATCAAAACTATCATAGTTTCCGAGAGAAAAAAATGCTTTAGTTAACCAAGAACAGTAAAGTGATCCTACCTTACTACTATTCATTGCTGGCTGTATCTTAGCTAAAGTAGCAGGTCCATGTTGAGGTATGCACACATTAGGGATGAAGAAGACCCTTGAGAAACATGCAGTGAAGTCTCAGGAATGACCACAGGTCTAGCCAAAAGACATGAGCTGCAAGAAGAAATTCAAGGAGTCAGAATTGTTCTCCACAGAGAAAAAGGAAAAAATGTATACCCAGAGTATAGTAAGCTATTACTGGAAATTAACTGTGAGTCTGTTAGATTCCCCAAACTACAAGAGAATTCCATACTTACCGCAGCTCACTCTCTCCTCTTTTCTCTACTGTCCCTATGTGTAATGTACTTTACCTTCTCTGCCTCCTGTTCTCCACTTTGAAGAGTAATTCATTTTTTTCTCTATTTTCACAAATAAAAAAAGCTTCAAGCTTAAAATGCAGCAACAAGGGACTGCATTTGTTGAAACACTGTTACAGCCAGGCTTGCTGCCTCATATCTACAATCCCAGCACTCAGGAGCCTGGGGCAGGAGGGTCACCAGGAATTCCAGTCCAGCTGGGCTACATAGTGAGTTCAACCAGCCTAAATTACATTGTAAGAATGTATTAAAAAAAAAAAAACTGTCACATCCTAAAGAAGTAATTAATAAGAAAAATACTTCCCAAAACTGAAGATTCTCCCTTCAAACATATACTTCCTCTGTTTCATGTGTCATGTGTTTTACTCTGCCAAAGTATGATCCTTGAATTGGCAGTTCTCCCCTCAATCCTTGGAAGTGTAGATCTTCTAAGATGTTTCTCAGTCACTGGCTCTCTTCTTTATCACTGATGTCAACAAACAGTCACCCCTCAGTACCCATGCAGGATTGGTTCAGTACAGATGCAATTTTTTGAAGAATATTTTTGATCTCTGGGTGGTTGAATTCACAGCAGCAGGAGCCACAGGTAGAGAGCCAACAGCATGCCTTTCCCAATCCTGGTAGTTTCTCATCTTTTGACTTTTGCACACCTATACCTAATCAGACTTCCTAGTTTGTCATCAGCTCCCGCTTCTTCTAAACCCTTTTTTGTTTGCCTATTCTGTCTCCTGTCTCTTCCCCTGCTTCCTTGACTTTTCACATAACTCAAAGGACATTTCACAGATGTTAGCAGAAAAAGCACTCCTTTCCTTCTGGTCAGGAACCTAATCAAACACAAGTGTCTACCACGGTCTGATACAAATCTTTTATTCTTCTAATGTTTTGCCCATTTCCATAGGGCTCCTCTTTACCTCCAAAGAAGCATTTTTGTTTCCTTCTGGATTTGGCAAGTGTACTGTCACCTCAACTGTGACACAGCACCCAATACCAACAACTTAAGAAGGACAGGTGCAGCAGGCTCAGCTTCCGAGGTGGACAGGGCATGGTAGCAGGGCAAGTGAGAGGAAAGCTGCTCATCTCACTGCAGAGCAGGTGGGACGCAGAGCGGAGGGAGGAGCCAGTGATAAGAAGATATCTTTCTAAAAGGACTCAGCATCTTTGCCGTTAATACAATGCAAATCACAACATTGAGATCCTATTTCACCCCAGTAGGAAAGACAAAAGCAGAATCAAGAAATGCTGGCAAAGCTACAGAGGAAAAGGAATCCTTTTACATTGTTGTTAGAAATATGACTAACACAAGTAGTATGGAAATCAGTATGGAGATTCATCAACCACTAAAAGGCAAAAGATTTATTCAATCTGAAGAGAAACCAGAGTGTCACCAACAACTAAAAATAGAAATTCCATTTAAGTATCAATACCTACACTATGTTCCCAAAAAGTATGGACATCATAGTAGAGTAATACCTGCATGTCCATGTTCACGGCAGCCCAATTCATAACCGTTAAATTACGGAAGCAGCCTATATGCCCATCCACAGTGAATGGTTAAAGAAGATGTACTATAGATACACAATGGAATACTCCTCAGTCACGGAGAAGGATAAATTTGAGTTACCTTAAGTACATAATGCTAAGCAAAATAAAGCAGATACAGGTTAAATATTGAATGGTTTCTCATATACGAAAGCCAAAATACAAATAATTTTAAAAGCAAAATAAAAACCAATGATAAGAAATAGGTAGACTTTGTGGGGATGAGAAAGGGACCTAGGATGGGAGAAAATAGGAGCCTGTGTAATTAGAGAGGTTGGCGGAGGAAGATGAAGGAATCATTAAAATTTTTCATTTTGTGCATGAAACCTTGGGCGAGCACTGATAAGGACTATATCTTTTAAGTAATACAAGGAATTTGTTTTGCTAAATGTCCTCTTGTCATCAAGCTGGGTGGCTTGGGTGGCATTAATCATTCACACGCCAAAGTTTCTGTAGTTGGCACACAGTATAGGTCTTCAGAATCAGCATATTCCTTCCCCCGAGCAGGAGTTCAGGAATGAGTATGTGACCCGAACTAGATAGATAAGTCTGAATGTTGTCCAACATTTTCCTTTTTATTTTACCAAGCCCAGGGCCTTGCACACACTAAGCAAGTGCTTTACAACTCAGCTATACATGGAGCACTCCCAACATTTTTTACAGGAAATAATCAGGAAAGTAAGTTCTTTTTCAGTTGAAGTAGTTAAACTGAAAAAAACATAAGTACCTACTTGACAATAAGCCAACACAGAGAAAGTGCCAAGAGTTGGAAACAGAAAGAGATAAAATTCTGAAAACATTTCACCCCTACATCTGAGTTCAAGTGTGAATAGATATAGCTTCTGAAATTTAGAATTACTATTAAGAAACAATTTTCCCTGGAGACTTCTGAGCAAAAAGTGCAAAGAAATGTGTATAACAGAGAAACATGAAAGCTAGAGTGGTATCTTCCACTCTTTGCAAAGAGAACTCAAAAGACCTTGGGAGAAATGACCCTCTTTCCTATCCCTCCCTGCAGAAATTTTATCTATATCCTATGATAATAAATCTAAAGAAACCTTCCCACTTTTCTGTGGAGATGATCTGCTTAATGAGTTATCCTTCTTCTGCCCAGGAAGATAGCTGATGTGTCAGCAGCCTGTACAAGATTAGAGTCTTTTAATTTCAAGAACCTCTCCTGTGATCCTTCTGGCAGAATCACTACATGTGCAGATAAATATCCAAAAGCCAGCAATATAATTGAGGCAGTAATATAAAACAAACCACCTAAGAAAAGCCCAGGAACTGACAGAGTCACAGCTAAATTCTACAGGATCTCCGGGGAAGATATAATGCCAATACTCCTCAACCTATTTAACAAAAATAAAAGACAAAGGGGGCTTGCTGGTTAGCGCAGTTGTTTAAGCGCCTGCTGGGGCAAACCCAGTCAGGCACAGGGAATCACAGTTCAATCCCCAGCTCTCCATGCTTACCAGACATGCCCTTAAGGCAGCCTGAGCCAACCAGAAAGAAAGAAAGGAAAGGAAAGGAAAGGAAAGGAAAGGAAAGGAAAGGAAAGGAAAGGAAAGGAAAGGAAAGGAAAGGAAAGGAAAGGAAAGGGGAAAAAAAAATTAAAAGACAAGGAGTACTCCCAGTGCCAACCAATCCTGGAACCTAGCACTGTCCTACTTCTAAAACCAGGGAAGGACCCATCCAAAAAAGAAAACTACAGGCCCATCTTTTTGAACATAGATGCAAAAATTCTCAACAAGATACTGGCAAACAGAATGCAACAAATCATCAAAAAGATCATATACTATAATGAAGTAGCCTTCATCCTAGAGATGTAATGATGGTCCAACATATACAAATGAATAAATGTAATACATTACATAAACAGAAACAAGGACAAAAGACATATGATCACATCAATAAATGAAGGGATGGGGAGATAGCTCAGGGGAATAAATGCTTGCTTGACAAGTACAAGGTCCTGAGTTTGATCCCTGGTACAAAAAAAAAAAAAAAAAAAAAAAAAAAATTGGTTAAATAAATGCAGAAAAAAAGCCTTTGACAAAATCCAATACACATTCATGATAAAAAAAAAAACCTGAAGAAAAGAGGTATAGAAAGATCTTCAATACCTGATAAAAAGCTACTTACGGCAAACCTACTGCCAACATCATGTTAAATAGAAAAATAGTAAAAACTTTCTCTCTAAAACCAGAACTAAGCTAAAGATATCTATTATCACACTGTTCAATAAATTTACTCAAAACATTAGCCAGAGCAACCAGGCAAAAAAAAGAAGCAAAAGGGATACATGTTAGATAGAAAGAAGACAAATTGTCATTATTAGCAGATAGCATGATCCTCTACATAGAAAACTCAAGAAACTCCACCAAAAGACTCCTAGAATTAATAACCAAATTCAGTAGTGTAGCAGGATGTAAAATCAACACACAAAACTTAACAGTGTTTTTGTAAAAATGATAATTAACTCACTAAGAAAGAAATTAGACAATATCACATGTAGCATCAAAAAACTAAATACTTAGAAATTAATCTAACCAGGAAGTAAAAAGACCTCTATAGTGAAAATTACAGTATTCTGAGAAAAAGAGATCAAGGAGGGTATCAGAAAATAGAAAGACAACCTATTCCTGGATGGGTAAAACCAATACTGTCAAAATGGCCATATTCCAAAAACTGACATAAAGTGTATTCAATACAATCAAAATACCAACAGCATAACAAAAATAACCCTAAAATCTATATAGATTCAGAAGAGACCCAGAATGGCAAATACAGTTGTAGTTAACAAGAGCAACGCAGCAGGAATTACAATATCAGATTTTAAATATTACAAAGCTACAGTAATAAAAACAGCATAGTCCTCATATAAAAACACATAGGGATCTATAGACACAGAAACAACTCCAGACACATTCAGCCTGTCTTTGACAAAGGGGCCAAAAAGAGCCTCTTTAACAAGTAGTGCTTAAAAAAAAAAAAAAAAAAAAGCTATCTATATGCAGAAGAGCAAATCTAATCACATGTCTAGTCTTCTATATTTCACCATGCACTAAACTAAAATCAGACTGGATCAAATAACTAAATGTTAAGACAGAAAATATCTAGTAGAATATAAAACAGGCAAAACAAATTAAGACATAGGCATAGGCAAGGACTTTCTGAATAGGACTCCAACTGCCCAAGAAATAACATCAAGAATCAACAAATGTGATCACATTAAATTTAAAAGCTTCTGTACAGCAA